GCCGCCGGCCGCTTCGCTCCCGCTCGCTCTTCCCGGCCTTCATCCTGCGGCCCGGCCGAGAGCCACTTGCACGGTCCGTTGAGCCACTCGAGCCGAAGGAAGTGACGGCCCGACCTTTGTACTTCCGCTTCCGGGCAGCGCGCTATCCCAGAAGCCCTCACGGCGGGGGGTCCCCTAGGTGGGCGTGGCCGCAGATGCTAAGGTTCCTACGCTGGGGACGCCCGGGCTTGTGACCCCGGGATCCCGGCTCCTGGGGAAGTGAGGCTGGAGGACTGGAAAGTCAAGGCCAGACCTCGGGAGGCGGAGGCAGAAGAATCGCTGTAAATTCGAGGCCAGCCTGGGCAATTTAGTGAGTCCCTCAGGTAGAGATTGCCTAGCCGAGCCCGAAGCCCTGGATTCCATCCGCAGCACCGCCAAATAGAAATTAAGTTAAAAGGGCGGAAAGCCTGGAGAATGTATCTTAACAGTAAAGTGAGCGTTTGCCTCGCGTGTGCAAAGGGCTGGGGGCAGTCCCTAAGACCTCACAAATCACCAAAAGAAAAAAATCCTTTTTTTTTTTTTTTTGCTTCTCGAGACAGGGTTTCTATATGTAACGTTAAATAAATAATAAATAAATAAATAAATAAATAAATAAATAAATAAATAATCTTGGGGTCTGGGCTGGAGAGATGGCTCTTCCTGGGGTCCTGAGTTCAATTTCCAGCAACCACATGGTGGCTCACAACCATCTGTGATGAGATCTGGTGCCCTCTTCTGGCCTGCAGGGATGCATGCAGACAGAACACTGTATACATAATAAATAAATAAATCTTTAAAATAAAAGAAAGAAAATTGGAAAGTTAATCCAAACCTGTTCGTGGCGGATTGTTGATAGTTACAAAACACAGACAAATACTCAACAATAGGAAATTCTTTTTTGTTTCTTGAGACAGTGTCTATGTAATCTTGGCTGTCCTGGAACTCACACAGATCCACCAGCCTCTGCCTTCTAAGTGCCAATCGTTGCTAAACAAACTAAGGAGTCAGGAGATGACTTGCGTTTTAAGGCTGAGCAAAGGTGGTTTGCCCATCTCATCACATCCCTTATTAGATCTAGCGCAAAGTCTCCAATCTTGTTTACCAAAAAGCCTGGAGCGTGTGGAGCTAGTTCAGTAGAAAAAACTTGCACGTGGCCGGCTCCGCCTCCCTACGAAGCCCCGCCCCATCCATGGGGCAAGGCGAGTAGGGGTTTCCATGGTGACCGCAAACAAGGCCCCACCTGGAGGGGCCGATACAGAGTTGCCACTCCTGCTGCCACCATGATTCCTCCCGCAGACTCTCTGCTCAAATATGACACCCCGGTGTTGGTGAGCCGGAACACAGAAAAACGGAGCCCCAAGGTATGAACGGGTCTCAGGGGATGCGAGATCCTACAAATTATCATGGGGAAGACATCCCAGCTTTGAGAATCTCTGGAAGTTCAGGAGCCAGGGATAGCTCTGGGACAACCAAGGGAATTGGGACAGGGACGATGGTGGTTGGGAGAGGAGTAAAACGAACCTAGCTGTGACCCCAAAGGGCAGATGAGAAAGAAGTCATAGGGAAATGGATAGGACTTGTGGTTAGGTCCAAGTATAGGCCAGGTAGTGACTTCCCCATCCCTAGAGAGTCACAACAAAGGTCTGACCACTCACTGGCTCTAGAAACACCAGTTCAAACACAGGGTCAGAGCCAGAGAGCCAGAGAGCCGTCTTGGTCTCTTCTGCTCATACTTATGTTGAGACCACAGATGAGGGAATAGGGAAATATGGATGTCTGTACAAGAAAGCTGGGGCAGTCTGGAGATTCTGTCTTGCCTGTCTCTTAGGCTCGGCCACTGAAAGTCAGCATCCAGCAGCCTGGGACCTCAGGTCCAGTCCCAGTGTCAACCAAGGGCAAGCTTCCCGCGACTTCCTGTGTCACAGATCCTACAAAACAGGCAGAAGAAATCTTGAATGCCATCTTGCCTCCAAGGTAAAAAAAAAAAAAAAAATGGAGAAGAAAAAAGAAAAAGCAGGGGTTAGGGGAAGCAATGTCTGGGAGAAGTCCAGGCTATTGGCCCCAGAACTTAGGTGTGTGGGCCCGGGAGGTTCACCTGTGTGTGTTCTGCCTGGGTTTTCTCTGAGGTTTCTGGATTTCATGGAGTCTGAGTGTGGCTGGATGCTCGAAGCCAGGCAGGAAACCTCTAAATCTATGCCCATACCTCCACGTTCAGAGCAGTCTCGTGACTTTAGATGTCAGCTATGCAGTCAGCTTTCAAATGTGTCCCAGCCCTGTTCCTCCTAAAATCCATTTCTTATATTCTGCTTCCTTGGTACCTCCAGCAAGATTCCCCATGGAGAGCCTGTTGTGGTGGCATGTGCTTAATCCCAGCACTCTGCTGGACACAGGAGGATTGCCTCGAAAGTCCAGGCCAGCCTGGACGACTTAGGGAGTGCCAGGCCAGCTAGTGCTACATAGCAAAGTTGTGTCTAAAACCCCCCACAGATGTCCGATAAGGCAAGACCCAGTGAATCTCACCTTTAATCCCAGAACTCAGGAGACAGAGGCAGGAGGTAAAGAGTTTGAGGACAGCCTGAGCTACATAGCCTAGCTAGAATTCTCAGAAACCTCCATCTAATGGACATTTTTATATCCAAGGCAATAAAGCTTTCTCAGAATGAAGAAAACACAGAGAACCTGTGATCTTCCCCAAGGATGGGAATCAAGAGAGAGGTGTCATCTGTTAATGGATTCTCTCCCACCAATAGAGACATTCCTCCCTCCCTTGCCATTCTGCCTGCAAGTTCATCACTGCAGGAACTGGCTGTGCCTTCAGCACAAAATTCATAGTGGGCAGCTATTGCAAACACAGCCCTTCAAGAACCTCTGTACTCCCAACGTACACAAAAGCTCCCTAGTGGCTTGCATGAGGTTTAGGACATTCTGTGTCTTCACCGTAAGCCAGTATGGGGAATTCCCACTGCATCTTCTATTCAAATCAAGCAGCAGAACCAGACAGATATGACCTGGAACATAGGGTTCTGGTCTCGTGGTCAATAGAGATTGTCCACCTGCCCAACCCTGAGGTAGGTGTCCTCTGGAGGCTGCATAGTGGATGTGGCTTGTGAAAGAGAGGGAAGCTGATTCCCGGTGGCACGGCGGCTATGCTGCCTCTCGGTCCTGCTCGGGACCCTGTTGTGAGGGCCCTTTGTTTACATTGGGTGAGTTTGTATGTGTATCACAGGGAATGGGTGGAAGACACACAGCTATGGATCCAGCAGGTGTCCAGCACACCCAGCACCAGGATGGATGTAGTGCACCTGCAGGAACAGCTGGACCTGAAGCTGCAGCAGAGACAGGCCAGGGAGACAGGGATCTGCCCTGTGCGCAGGGAACTCTACTCTCAGTGTTTTGGTGAGTAGGCTTGGTGGGGTGAGCACTATATACTGTCTGTCTCCTTCCAGCACAACACCAAGCCCTGGTTACCCCTAAACTACCCCCCCCATTTAGGAATCCAATCTCTTCTTCTTCCTGATTCCCCCATAGCTGCTGAGGACAGTCCCCTCCCCTCCCAGTCTCCACCTCAGCCAGTCATGCATGTGCCAGACATCGTCCCTCGGAGCCTTATCCCTCACAGAAGTTTGTTTGACTTTTGTGTAGATTTACATTTATTTTTCGTGGGGGTGTAGGTGTGGGTGAGCACATGCGTGCATGCGTGTTTTTATGAGGGTACACATGTGCCATAGCACATGTGTGGACATCAGAGGACAACTTGCAAGAATTCATTCACTCCTTCCACCATGTGGGGGCTGGTGATTGAGTGACTGACTCAGGTCATCAGGCTTGGTGCTAAGTGCCTTTCCCCACTGAACCATCTCACTGGCACCTTTAATAGGTATTTGGAATAAGGTAAGAACTTCCATGTGTAGTGGCGCATGCCTTAATACAAGCACTCGGAAGGAAGGAAGGAAGGAAGGAAGGAAGGAAGGAAGGAAGGAAGGAAGGAAAACTTTTTGAGTCATTGTTGTTGTTTTCTGAAGATTTCCATAATGAACTTGTGCTAATTATTTGTTTTTTGTTTTTTGTTTTTTAAAACGGGATCTCAATATCTAGCCCTAGCTGGCCGGGATTCAAGATCTGCCTGCCTCTGCCTCCTGAGTATTAGAGTTAAAGGCATGCATTCCTACTCCTGGCTTTAAATTTTATTTAATTGATTTTTTTAGCCAGGTGTTGGTGGCACATGCGTTTAATCCCAGTACTTGGGAGGCAGAGGCAGGTGGATCTCTGTGATTTCGAGGCCAGCCTGGCCTCCAGAGTGAGTGCCAGGACTGGCTCCAAAGCAACACAGAGAAACCCTGTCTCGAAAAACAAAACAAAAAAAATTTTAATTTATTTTTCAATACCAAATGATCAGCTCTGGAAACATATACACACAGCTAACATTGTATGAAGTAATCAGGCTGTATTTATATATTTAAGAGTATTAGCAGTGGGTCTAGGAAGATAACTCAGTGGTTAAGAGCACTGGCTGCTCTTCCAGAGGACCTGGGTTCAATTCCCAGCACACATGATAGCTCACAACTGTCTATAACTCCCGTTCCAGGGGATCTGACTCCCATACAGACATACATGTAGACAAAACACTAGTGTACATAAAATAAAAATAAATAGATTATTTAAAGAAAAGGAGTAAAGGGATTGAGGAAAATGCTGTGTATTGATCTCTGGCCTCTGCACACTCACAAATGTCTTTAACTCCAGCGCCTGAGGATCTTGTGCCCTCTTGTGGCCGCAACAGGCACTGCACATATATAGTGCACATATGTTGAGCACACACACACACACACACACACACACACACACACACACACACGTACACACACACACACAATTAGCCGGACGTTGGTGGCACACTCCTTTAATCCCAGCACTCGGGAGGCAGAAGCAGGCGGATCTCTGTGAGTTCGAGACCAGCCTGGTCTACAAGAGCTAGTTCCAGGACAGGCTCCAAAACCACAGAGAAACCCTGTCTCGAAAAACCAAAATTAATTAATTAATTAATTAATTAATTTTAAAAAAGAATATTAGCATCCTGGCAGTGGTAGTTCATGCCTTTAATGCCAGCACTCAGGAGGCAGAGGCAGGCAGATCTCTAAGTTCTGAGTTAGAGGCCATCCTAGTCTCCAGAGCAAGTTCTGGGACAGCCAGGGACAAATAGAGAACCCCTATCTTGAAAAACAAACAACAACAACCAAAAAAACACGGCTGGGCAGTGATGACACATGCCTTTAACTTCAGCACTCAGCAGAGGCAGGCCCATCTCTGTGAGTTCGAGACCAGCCTGGTCTACAAGAGCTAGTTCCAGTACAGCGTCCAAAGTCACAGGGAAACCCTGTCTCAGGAAAAAAAAGAACAACAAAAAACAAAACAAAGAAAAAAAACATACACACACACATATGTAATAAGACAAAAGAGTATGAATTTGAAAGACAGTGGGGGGAGGCATACATGGGGGAAGAAGGATGGAGGAAAGGGAAGAAGAAAAATGTTATAATATTTTCTAAACGTCAAAAATAAAGATAATTTTTGTTTTGTTTTGTTTTTGTGTTTTTGAGGCAGGGTTGCTCTGTGTATCCCTGGCTGTTCTGGAACTCAATCTGTAGACCTATTCTTGTATCTACCTACCCCTGCCTTCTAAGTGCTGGCTTTAAAGGTATACACCATCACTGCTTGACTAATAAAATACTTTTTACAAATTTATTTTTACTTAATGTTCTTTGGTGTTTTGCCTGCATGGGTGTGTAGGTGTGAGGGTGTTGGAAGCCCTGGAACTGCCATGTGGGTGTTGGGAACTGAACCCAGGTCCTCTGGAAGAGCAGTCAATGCTCTTAACTGCTGAGCCATGTCTCCAGCCCCATAAAAATAATTTTTAACATACTATTTTATTTTATTGAGTGTGTGTGCTGTATGGGTACAGGTGCCCATGGAGGACAGAAGAGGGAATTGGATACCCTGGAGCTGGAGTTACAGGCAGTTGTGAGCCACCAGACATGAGTGTCAGGAACTGAACTCTGGTCCTTTGAAAAAGCCGCAAGTGCTCTTAACCACTGAGCTAGCTCTCCAGCCCAATGTGTTAATATTTCAACCAAAATTAATACCTACCTTTATGTCTATTCATCCACACTCTGCCCACATTCCAGAAAAATACTTCAGTCGTTTGTTGTTGGGATGACACAGGATTTAAGATGTGCCCACTGAGTGCTGATGCCAACTGCTGCCCTCTGCTCCACTCATCCTGCCACTATAGTCTCTCAACTGCAAACCTCCAAACTCTCAGGCAACTCCAGATTCAGCAAAGGGGGGCCTTAGCCTGCTTAGTATGAGTATGGTTTGCCCTACAATTTGGGTACTTACAGGGGGAGAGAAGAAAGTTCTAGACTCTGCTGTGTTTAATACCATTGATTTTTGTGTGTTTGTTTATTTGTTTGTTTGTTTATGGAGTCAGGGTATCTCTGTGTAGCCCTGGCTGTCCTGGAACTTACTCTGTAGATCAGGCTGGCCTTGAACTCAGAGATCCACCTGGGGTTAATGGTTTACTCTACTGCTGCCCGGCTGAACAGGAATGCTTTTAAACACTACCATTTGGGAAGGTCAATTCTTCTTATACCCATTTGTGTCTGAAGGTGGAAGTGAGGGAACCAACTACCACAAACAAACAAACCTGAGCTCTAGTCTCTCTCTGTCCACCTCAAGCTTGTTAATTGCATGTTCTTTCCACGTTTCAGGTTCAGGTTCAAAGGGGTTCTTTGGGTCATGGAATGCACCCCTCACAGTGCCTCCCCCCCCCCCCCCGAGACAGGGTTTCTCTGTGTAGCTTTGGAGCCTATCCTGACACTCGCTCTGGAGACCAGGCTGGCCTTGAACTCACAGAGATCCTCCTGCCTCTGCCTCCCAAGTGCTGGGATTAAAGGAGTGCACCACCAATGCCCGGCAAAAAGCGAAGTTGTCAGGAGTGGGATTCAAACCCACGCCTCCAGGGGAGACTGCGACCTGAACACAGCGCCTTAGACCACTCAGCCATCCTGACGTCGGGGTCTGCCTTCTTTTTTTATTTTTATTTATTTTTGAATCAGGGTTTCTCTGTATTGCTTTGGAGGTTGTCCTAGAATTCGCTCTGTAGACCAGGCTGGCCTCCAACTCACAGAGATCTGCCTGCCTCTGCCTCCCGAGTGCTGGGATTAAAGGCGTTCACCACCAACGTCCAGCTTACTTATTTAAGATTTATTTTATTGTGTATTCAGTATTCTGCCCGCATGTATACCTGTATGCCAGAAGAGGGCGCCAGATCTCGTTGCAGATGGTTCTGAGCCACCATGTGGTTGCTGGGAATTGAACTCAGGATCTCTGGAAGAGCAGCCAGTGCTCTTAACCCTTGAGTCATCTCTCCAGCCACCTCATAATGCCTTCTTATAGACCATACTTTTGGGTTTTGTGTGCTATTTCATCTGTATGTGTGAATGTGTGCGCACATGTAGAGACCAGAAGTCAATGTCAAATGTCTTATATCATTCTCCACTTCTTTTTGAAGATCTTTTGAAAAACTTTATAGGTGGGGTGTTTTGCCTGCATGTATGTCTGTGCAGTGCCCAAGGAGGCCAGAAGAGAGCATTGGATACCTTGGAACTGGACTTAGAGATGGTCATTAGCTGCCAAATATGTATTTTCTGGAAAAGCAGTCAATATTAACTGCTTGGTCATCCTTCCAGCCCATCTACCTTATTTTTTTGAGACACCTGGAGCTCTTTGGTTTAGCGAGACTAACTGGCCAGCAGGCTCCAGGGGATTTTCTGTTGCCATTCTCCAGGGCTAGAGTTATATGTGTACCACTCTGCCTGGCTTTTTACATGGGTGCTGGGAATCTTTTTTTTTTTTTTTAAAGATTTTATTTATTATGTATACAACATTCTGCTTCCATGTATATCTGCACACCAGGAGAGGGCACCAGACCTCATAACGGATGGTTGTGAGCCACCATGTGGTTGCTGGGAATTGAACTCAGGTCCTCTGGAAGAGCAGTCAGTGCTCTTAACCTCTGAGCCATCTCTCCAGCCCTGGGTGTTAGGAATCTTAATTTGGCCAGCTGTCATTTCCCCAGATCCGTGCCTCTGAGAACACATCCTACGTCCTTCTCAAGAGGAAGGGTGGCTTGCCATAGACAAAGTGCATGTCCCCTCACCATTGTCTTTTATCTCCCCGTGTGCGCACTGGCAGATGAGCTGATCCGGGAGGTCACCATCAACTGTGCAGAGAGGGGGCTGCTGCTGCTACGAGTCCGGGATGAGATCCGAATGACTATCGCCGCCTACCAGACTCTGTATGAGAGCAGTGTGGCATTTGGCATGCGGAAGGCCCTGCAGGCGGAACAGGGGAAGTCAGACATGGAGAGGAAAGTGAGTGGGCTTCGCCATGTCCCCATGGCTCCTGGACTCTTCTGTTAATCTTGGGGCATGCAGTTGTCACTGCGGCCCTGAATTCTGGTCCTGAGGGTGTCCTCCACACTCATAGTGTAAGGCCTCGGTGAGGAGAGAGTCTTGTCTGAGGACACTCCGTGTGCATCACTGACTTCCCACGGGGTGGCGGTACATACCCTGGCATTGTCTTAGCTGGGCGGCGGTGTCCTAAGGCTCCCTACCCAGGCTTTCACAACACTCATCCTCTGGGGGATGTCCCAGGATGATGGCCGTTCTGTCTGCAGATTGCAGACTTGGAGACAGAAAAGAGAGATTTGGAGAGGCAAGTGAATGAACAGAAGGCGAAATGCGAGGCCACAGAGAAACGGGAGAGCGAGAGGCGACAGGTGGAAGAGAAGAAACACAACGAAGAGATCCAGTTCCTGAAACGGACCAATCAGCAGCTGAAGGTACAAGAGCCTGAACTCTAGGCAGGGGTTACACCCTGAACTGTTATCTCCATCCCTCCTCTTTACTTTTTGTTTGGGGGGGTTGCCTGGATTTTTGAGACAGGGTCTCACGTAGCCCAGGCTAGCCTCAAACTCACACTCTGCCTTTTTAGCCTCTGTCCTGCTGAGATTATAGGCATGCACCACCAGGCCCAGCTCTCCTTTTAATTTTCTTTTTAAAGAGTTGTTTTGTTTTGTTTTGGGTTTCAGTTCTTCAGGACAGGGTTTCTCTGCATAACAGCCCTTGCTGTAAAGAGTTTTTAAAAAGCTTTTTCTTTATGTGTATGTATGTTTTGCCTGCATGCACACACATGTACATGTGTGCCTGTTGGATCCCCTGAAACTGGGGTTATGGGCGGTCGTAAGCCACTTTGTGGGTGCTGGGAAATGAACCCAGATCCACTTTCCAGCCCTTCTTTCAGTTGGAAACAGGACCTGCATTTCCCAGGCTAGCCTTGAACTCTGTAACCCAGGGAGGCTGTGAACTTGCAGTTCTCCTGCTTCTGCCTCTCTGCCTCTCCAGTAGCTGGGATTACAGGTCTCTGCCCATGACTCTTAAATGCTGGCCCACATGTACTGACTGCCAAGGATTACAGGAGGCTGGCAGGGTGGTGTGGGGCTTCTTTCCAGGTTCTTTATCCCCTTAGCTGTGAAGGAAGTCTGTTCTTACCACTAACCAATACCCCAGCCTACTCCTCCACTGTAGAGCCATCATGCCTTCCAATGTTTCCCTCAGGGAGAAAACAGCTTCTGTCCCTTAAGGGGGTCATAGGAGTCCTCCTCCTAGACTAGGTCTCTAGGAGTGCTATCTACCTGGCTTTTTTTTTTTTTTTTTTTTTGAGACTGGGTTTCTCTGTGTAGTCCTAGAATTCACTCTGTAGACCATGCTGGCCCCGAGATCCACCTGCCTCTACCTCCCAAGTGCTGGTATTAAAGGTGTGTACCACCATCACCCGGCTCCACCCTGGCATCTTGATGCTCTGTGGCAAAAGCAGAGAAAGCTCTTGAATAAAGGCTATTTGGGAAGCCCTGCTAGGTGCATGCCAGAGGAAGCCAGCTAGAGGTTGTTCTCCTCAGCCCAACTGAGGAGGAGCTGGGAAAGAGGGCTGGATGGGAAGGAGGCCAGGCCACAGACTGCAAAGGCTGAGCCCCAGACAAACATCACCCTTATCACAGGGCAGCTTTTATAAATAATTGTTGACCACCCCTGGTTGTCGAACAGAAGCTGTAGGGCTGGTGCCCAACAGCACAGCTTAACAAGGCCTTGAAATGTTCTGGGGCTCATGAGGCTTAAGCACCACTCTTCTAAATATGGTGCCTATAAGCAGCTCTCTCTTAACCTCCCTTACTTAAAGCCATAAGGTCTGGCCCTTGAGATAAGGAAGGCTTTGTATGAGCCTTCAGCAGAGGATGAGAGATTTTTGCTGGTTGCTCAAGAGTCTATTAGAAGAAAAGCTGGAGACTTGCCCAGCCAGATGTAAATGTTGACTCAGCAGATTCCAAAGCTGGTTCCTTAGTTCCAACAGGACCAAAGCTGAATACCTTAGCATCCTTCTAACATCCAAAGGCAACCTTGAAATCCCAGGGCCAAGGATTCTTTACAATAAAGCTTTTTATTGGCTTCAAGCTTCACTACAAAGAAAGCAGTGTTTTTAGTCCCCAGTATAGACCTTCTTAAGGGTCTGTTCACTATCCGCACAGTAAATCACTGTGCTGGCTGCTAGAGGAACTGAGTAAATAACCCTCTAGCGTCTCCCTACTCACTGGTAGCAATTTCTTCTAATTGAGTGTCAAGTTGTCTCAGTGGCTGATAATTTGCCACTTCCCAGATCTCTGGTCCAACCAGAGCTCCACAGTACTAAGCCAGAGAGCCAGCCCAATGTTTAACTTAGTGGACATATGCAGGCTTAAAGTAGGAGTGATGAGAAACCACTATTTCAACAACTTTTATTCCATTTCCCTTTCTGTGCTTTCTATTATACACTGAGCTATTACTGTATGGAAACCAGGGCATTTCTGGTTTTTGCTCATGTAACAAAACCATGCCAAGCTTGGCATCCAGCTAATCTAGAAAATGTGGAGCTGAGTCAGAAGGGGGTGTGCTCAGAGTGGCAGCCTCCGGGCTCAGCTATGTGTTGTTAGGGTGCAAGATGCAAATACTAATGGGGTTTTGTTTTTTTTTTTTGTTTTTCAGGCCCAACTGGAAGGCATTATTGCACCAAAGAAGTGATAATTCCCGTATGGGTCTCAGCAGGCACTATGCCCCACCATAAGCCCATTGTAATAAAAAGCCAGTTTTCCTGAGTGAACAAGCAAGCCATCCCCTCCCCTGATCACCACTCATATAATTGTTAGAACGATTGCCCAGTGCCATGAGAAACACCTAAAGTCTGGCAGCCAGGCTCCTGGTGGGGCTGTAGAAGGTGGTGTAACCTCATGTCCACGTGCCGCTTACAGACTGGCCTGGGGATTTGTCATCTCAACAACTCAGGAAGCAAGTGTTTCCCCAAAGAAACTACTCTTGCAGCAAATTCAGTTCACAGTTCACCTTGTACCTTGGGCTTCTCTGGCCCCACCCTCCCACTCCATCACTTCTCCAGGGTTAACATTTAGCAACTCATTTCAGAGTCTGGATTTAGTCTCATTCCCACCCACCAAGTCAGCAGGACCCTGTCCACAGAATGCCTGGCTCCATGAGGAAACAACAGCAGAGACAAACCCCTGCTCACTGAGAGGTATGGAAGTTCCAGTATCTTGAGAGCTGCCTGCATCCCAGGCCCTCCCCATTATTCACCTTCTGCAGGAAGGACATCAAAGCCTGACTCCACACTCCCTAACTAGCCATTAATGAACAGCTAAGGAAGCAGCCACATCTCACCTGCAGCTCTAGTCAGATTATGGCCTAAAGACAGTTTGTAGATCCAGAAGACTTAAGTTACAGCACATTTCCATTCAGGGAAGCCCAGAGCAGGAGAGGACAGTGAGCTTGGTGACACCCATATTCAACCAAGTGTTGTTTCCTTCAGTTGGTGGATTTCCTTCTAGTTGTTGGGAATGCCTCAAGTACATAGCACCCCTGAACGGTGCCAGAAAGTGTTCACTCCTTGGCAGCTTTGACCTCCATCCCACTCAAGACTTACTGTAAGGCTTATGACCCCAAGAGCTGTTGTGAGTTGACTATAACACAACTCTGACCTTATACTAGAAGTCACATCTTTGACTGTCACCCAGTATCCTGAGGAACTAGATAGACTTCCACTAGAGAAACCTGCCTGAGCTGCCGCCTACCTAGAGCCATGCCCTGTGGTGTGCTGGCTTTGTGGCCTGCACAGGAAACTTGGCCTGTACTCTAACAAGCCCAAGTAGACAGTTGCTGGAGCACTCCTCATTCCTCCAGCCCCACCACGAAGTACTTGTGCTTTACAGCTTTTAGGCGCTGATGATCCCCAGCACTGCTTAGTAGAGTAAGAAACACACATTTGTCTGTAGTAGACACACACACAAGGGCTAGGTCCAGTGTTTGAAGAACTCTCTGAGGATTTACTGTTGTCACTAGCACTGGGGCACAACTCATCTGCTAAGCTTCCCAAGTGTGTTGTGTCTTACAGATGCCAACTGGGCATGAAAAAACAAAAAACAAAAAACAAAAAAACAAAAAAAACTGAGCACAATTCCTAATGCCTATTTTTGTATAATTTAATAAACAACTTTCTAGATGTTACTGCTTCTGTCTGAGTTTCTTGTGTCTGTGCTTCTGTCCCTCTGAGTCGTTTGTCTTCTTTTTGTTCCTGTTTCTATTTTTCACATTGTGTGTTTCATAGTAGCGCACACCAACTTTTTTGGATTGTTGCTGCCGTGCAGCTCTCCTCCGCTGTAAAACACAACAGAAAAGAAAACCAGTCCAGCACTGAAGGTAATCAATCAGGAGGCCATTTCCCAGCCCTCCCTCTCCATGCCTATGTGGCTACCACCGAAATGGAAGCAAGGCTAGGGGAGTGTCCACCTCAGACATGATGACCAGCAGCAGACTCTCACTGGGCCCAGCTCTCATCCCTCTCCCCAGGGGGTCTGCTTCAGCTCTGCAAAGCTGTCCTTCCCAGGGGTCAGTTATCTGCCTGCCTCACCAGCTGTACTCTTTGTATGTCACTTCCCCGGAACCAGACAAAACCATCCAATTCTTCTGGTCAACAGAACACAGCTCTGAAGATGGTAACTAGAATTCCTGAAACTAAGACTCAGATTCAAGGACCTTTTTGCAGAGGGCCCTTTCTTGACCAAAATTAAATTACATCAGGTCACTAAAAAGTGGGGTTCCTAGGCCTCGAAGCTCTAAATTCTTGTTTCAGAAAGAATGAGTCTTGGGAACAGGACTTCTAGTTGGGTATGGTAACTTACAACTGTAATCTCAGCACTTGAGACTAAGATAAGGGGACCACCTGAGTGTGAGGAAAACCAGGGCCTGCAGACCAAGACCCCACCTCAAAGGAAAGAATAAAATAAAAAGAGCCGAAGGGACGGCTCAGGGGTAAAGGTGTTTGCCTCCAAGTCTGGCGACCTGAGCTCCATCCTCAGGACCCATGTGACAGAGCCTGTCGACAGGTTGTCCTCTCATCGCCAGGGGCTCACATGTCATGAGATGCCTGCACACATGCATGCACATGAAATACATGTAAAACACAAACCGCAAAGCAAGCTTTTACTGTTTTTGTGTTGTTTCTTCCCCTGTGACAAGGTTTCACTATGCAGCTCTGGTTCTCTGAAGACTCACTCTGTAGACCAGGCTGACCTCACACTCAGAGCTGTGTTTGCCCCTGCCTCACTGAAAGAAGCAGGATACTTACTTCCTTACACGTCAGCATCCTCTGAGCTTTACTTGAAGGTTCTTCTTCCATGTGTGCACTACGCTTCCTTCCCTTTTTGGTGGGTGCTGGGTACAAACGATACAGAAAACACAGAGGAGATTAAAAATAGAAACTGCATTTCAAAATCTGTGGAAGACTACAGTGGGAACAGCCCTGTTTAAGGAGAGGAGGAGGGGTTACAGCAGGAGGCCAGGGGCTCAGTGGGGTCTGACTTGCATCACATAGAAACTATCAGTAAGTTTCTGAAACTTCTGTGATGGTTTGAATGAGAATGGCCTCCAGGGGCTCAGAATCTTTAAATCCTTGGTCCCCATTGGCGGGACAGCTTGGAAATGGTGATGCATATCACAGAGGTGGACTTAGGCTGAGAAAGACTCCAGCCATCCTCAATGTGCTACCTGCTTCCTGTTTGTGGACTGGGATGTGAGCTCTCAGCTGCTGAGTGCCATGCCTGCCTGCCTGCCGCCATGATGGATCCCTATCCCTCTGGAACTGTAGGCCTGTAGGCCCCGAATTAAGCAATAAGAGATAGTAACTAAGACAGACCTCCTGCCCAAGTTTGTCTGCAGACTCTTCTCTTCCTCTGTGAAGTTAATACATACTTTATTTTTATTTTTGCACTTTTTTTTTTTTTAAATAGACAGGGTTTCTTTGTGTAATCTTGGCTGTCTAGTAACTTGCTCTGTAGACAAGGCTGGCCTCTAACTCATGAGATCTGCCTGCCTCTGCCTCCCAAGTGCTGGGATTAAATTCATGCACCACCACCACTGGCAAAAATAAATGAGGCTTTCTCTCTCTCTCTCTCTCTTTTGGTTTCTTGAGACAGGATTTCTCTGTGTAACAGCTCTGGATGCCTTAGAAATCACTTTGTACACCAGGCTGGCCTTGAAGATCTGCCTGCTTCTGTCTCCTGAGTGCTGGGATTAAAGGTATATTGCCTGTAATACGCACTTTAGAAAAGCAGTATTCCTAAGCTACCAACTTTGATCTTAACAAATGTACAGAATTTCAAGTGGAGAGTCCAATTTACATGGTAAGTAGGATATGAAACTAGACGCCTAGTATCTGCCTGGATGGAAGAGATTACCCTAGAGCTACAAAACATGTCTAAATGGTTCAAAATCCACCTCACCTGCATCACTGACTTCTACAGATCTTTTCTTCTCTTCTTCATATTTTGCAAAAACCTTTTCACTTAAGTCCTTGGATATTCTGAAAAATAAAAGCAAAGTCACAAAGCAGCCCAGCACTCCCTTTTAACTGCTCTAAACAGGCCAGGCCAACTTGGAGAGGTGCCAACTCTTTTTTTTTCTTTTCTTTCTTTTTTTTTTTTTTTTTTTTTTTTTTTTTTTTGCAAGACAGGTCTCTGTGTAGCTTTGGAGCCTATCCTGGCACTCACTCTAGAGACCAGGCTGGCCTTGAACTCACAGAGATCCGCCTGCCTCTGCCTCCTGAGTGCTGGAATTAAAGGCATATGCCACCAACGCCCGGCTTGAGGTGCCAACTCTTGAAGAAAAGAAATTCCACCATGTTTGTGGTAATTGCTGGGTGATACAGCCAGTGCCCAGCAGTTTGTACAGCTCCTGGGTTAAAATATTAGATAACCAATGTCTTTTACTTCAGGTGGCCAAAGATGACAAATTGCAGCTTGGTTTCTTGTTTGTTTGTTTTCTAAACCAACCACTCCTAGCTTCTAGAAAAATACTATTCAGATTAGGATTGCATCTGTGGTAGAGATAAGTGGTAGAGCATTTGCCTGGCAGACATGGGCCCTAGCTTCCATCCTAAGTACTTTAAAACTATAATTCCAAAGCCAATGTTCAGGACAAGTGAGAAAGGAACAAATAAGCTAATTAGGAAGAAGAAAGAAGGAGGAGGAGGAAAGAAGAGAGAAGAAAGGAAGGAAGAAGAGGAGGAAAGAGAAAAAAGGAAGGAAAGGAGAGAGGGAGGGAAGAGAAAAGAAGGAAGGAAGAAAGGAAGGAAAGAGGGAGGGAGAGAGGAAGAAGAAGACAGGAAGAAGAAAGAAGATGATGATCTGACCTGATGGCTGAGAACTTCTTAGCTTTGGCTTTATTTAGAAACTTCTGGTACTTGGCGATCTTTTCATCTAAGGCTCTAATCACAGCTTTGGTGTCCTTTTCCACTGGTTCTTCCTGAGAGTCCTGGGAAGGCGCCTCCTCAGCATCCTCTCCCGGCTGCTCCTGATCCTGCTCCTCCTCTTCTGCTGAAAGGCTTTCCAGGTCTTCCTCCATGTCTGACAGCTCCACAGGAACCAGGTCATCCGCAGAAAACTGAGGCCCCACATTGATTTTGCCGAAGTTCTGTCGAACGCGTGCAAGGATTTGTTGCATCTCTGAGTTTGAGTCCTGGGGATGGTCTGCTTCTGGCTCCTTTTCAATGACAGAGTCTGACTTTTCAACTATGGTTTCCGAGATCTCTTCTTCTGGGTTGTTCTCAGTTATTTCTGTGGGAACTTCCAATGGTGAGGAAGGTGGAAGCTAGTGAGGACCAAAAAAGGTATGAGAAGGAGACAAATAGAACCAGAAAAGGAAACCCATGCTTTAATCCCTTCCCAGCTCTCAGGTGAGCAGTCCTCCTCTCCGACCTAAACAAAGAAGGGAAGAACATCAAACTTGAACTGCATCGTTCATCTACTCTGAGTTATATAACTACTTTATTGAGTTATATAACTCAATAAAGCGCCACCACCAGAAAGTATCAAAGGGACAAAGCTGTGCATCTGGAGGAAAGGTGCCAACCCAATGAAGCCAACTACCCAGTGAGTGTTCTCCTGTGGGTATCAGGAACAGGGAGCAGAGGAGGCCCATAGAAAAATATAAGACACAAGTCTAAGGAAGTGGAAGCCAGGTTAAATGAGGGCCAGGAAGTGTAAGAGAGATGTGGGGAGGCATGTTTTCAAAGAGTTGTGCCCGGCCAGAAATCAGAATGTGCACCGAGTCTAGAACACTGAGCTGATGGGTCTATTTTGGGTTTCCATGCACAGAAGGATGTACCAAGCTTCCTACAGCATTTCTCATGCAGATCATTTTATCTCTGTGACCTAGACTCATACAGTGACTCTCCAAAGTCAAAGGTGGCTGGGTAAAATGCTAAACAAGTCCAGAATCCATGAAATGGAGGAAACTGTACAAAAGTCTGTGCATTCTGAGCTGGCAAGTTGGCTCAGCAGGTGAAGGCACCTGCTGCCCAACCTGACAACCTGAGTTCAATGCCCAGAATCCACATGGTGAAAGGCAAGAACCAACTCCCCAAAGTTGTTCTTGGATCCCCACATGCACACCATGATGTGTGTGTGTGTGTACACAAACACATGCATGTGGAGACACACACACACACACACACACACACACACACACACACACACACACACACACACACACACACACACAGATTTTAAAAGTTTGTACATTTTGCAGTGAGGTGATTTCTAGATTTCGTTTTCTTTCAAGACAGGTTTTCTCTGTGTAGCCCTGGCTATCCTGGAAGTAGCTCTATAGACCAGGTTGGACTTGAAATCCACCTGCCTCTGCCTCCTAAGTCCTGGGATTAAAGGCATGCGCCATCACATATGGCTTATGGAGTAGGGGACTGTGCTGAAGATGTCTGCTAAGGTGCCAACTCCC